ATGAGTGACAGAACACTGAGCCTATCACGGCGCAACTAGAGAACATTACCAACCCCTACGCTCCGTATTTTCTGCTGGCTGCCCCACCACCACAGAAAGCACTGAGCTTGGCTGAAACACCTGCATTTTGGAGCTGCCTTACTCAAGAAAGCAAAAAAAGACCATGTTTGTATGTGGCGTTATTAACTAAATTTTTTTCTACATTGTTTGCAAACTGATATGTGACACGTATTAATGCCAAAACAACAGGCAAAAAAATGTAATCATATACAGTGGGGGAAAAAAGTATTTAGTCAGCCACCAATTGTGCAAGTTCTCCCACTTAAAAAGATGAGAGAGGCCTGTAATTTTCATCATAGGTACACGTCAACTATGACAGACAAATTGAGAAAAGAAAATCCAGAAAATCACATTGTAGGATTTTTAATGAATTTATTTGCAAATTATGGTGGAAAATAAGCATTTGGTCAATAACAAAAGCTTCTCAATACTTTGTTATATACCCTTTGTTGGCAATGACACAGGTCAAACATTTTCTGTATGTCTTCACATGGTTTTCACACACTGTTGCTGGTATTTTGGCCCATTCCTCCATGCAGATCTCCTCTAGAGCAGTGATGTTTTGGGGCTGTCGCTGGGCAACACGGACTTTCAACTCCCTTCAAAGATTTTCTATGGGGTTGAGATCTGGAGACTGGCTAGAGGGAGTTGAAAGTCCGTGTTGCCCAGCGACAGCCCCAAAACATCACTGGCGCAGTGGTCTAAGGCACTGCATCGCAGTGCTAACTGTGCCACTAGAGATCCTGGTTTGAATCCAGGCTCTGTCGCAGCCGGCCGCGACCGGGAGACTCATGGGCGGCGCACAATTGGCCCAGCGTCGTCCAGGGTAGGGGAGGGAATGGCCGGCAGGGATGTAGCTCAGTTGATAGAGCATGGCGTTTGCAACGCCAGGGTTGTGGGTTAGATTCCCACGTGGGGGCCAGTATAAAAAAATATATATATGTATTCACTAACTGTAAGTCGCTCTGGATAAGAGCGTCTGCTAAATGACTAAAATGTAAATGTAAATGTAAAAAAATGAAGAACAAGGAGCTCTCCAAACAGGTCAGGGACAAAGTTGTGCAGAAGTACAGATCAGGGTTGTGTTATAAAAAAAAATTATCAGAAACTTTGAACATCCCACGGAGCACCATTAAATCCATTAATAAAAAATTGAAAGAATATGGCACCACAACAAACCTGCCAACAGAGGGCCGCCCACCAAAACTCACAGACCAGGCAAGGAGGGCATTAATCAGAGAGGCAACAAAGAGACCAAAGATAATCCTGAAGGAGCTGCAAAGCTCCACAGCGGAGATTGGAGTATCTGTCCATAGGACCACTTTAAGCCGTACACTCCACAAAGCTGGGCTTTACAGAAGAGTGACCAGAAAAAAGACATTGCTTCAAGAAAAAAATAAGCAAACACGTTTGGTGTTCACCAAAAGGCATGTGGGAGACTCCCCAAACATATGGAAGAAGGTATTCTGGTCAGATGAGACTAAAATTGAGCTTTTTGGCAATCAAGGAAAATGCTATGTATGGGGCAAACCCAACACCTCTCATCACCCTTAGAACACCATCCCCACAGTGAAGCATAGTGGTGGCAGCATCATGCTGTGGGGATGTTTTTCATCGGCAGGGACTGGGAAACTGGTCAGAATTGAAGGAATGATGGATGGCGCTAAATACAGGGAAATTCTTGAGGGAAACCTGTTTCAGTCTTCCAGAGATTTGAGACTGGGATGGAGGTTCACCTTCCAGCAGGACAATGACCCTAAGCATACTGCTAAAGCAACACTTGAGTGGTTTAACAGGAAATATTTAAATGTCTTGGAATGGCCTAGTCAATCCAATTGAGAATCTGTGGTATGACTTAAAGATTGCTGTACACCAGCGGAACCCATCCAACTTGAAGGAGCTGGAGCAGTTTTGCCTTGAAGAATGGGCAAAAATCCCAGTGGCTAGATGTGCCAAGCTTATAGAGACATACCCCAAGAGACTTGCAGCTTTAATTGCTGCAAAAGGTGGCTCTACAAAGTATTGACTTTGGGGGGGTGAATAGTTATGCATACTCAAGTTTTCCGTTTTTTTGTCTTACAGGAATTCCCCAGGGTAGCTGTTTAGGCCCCTTACTTTTTTATAACTTTACTAATGATATGCCACTGGCTTTAAGTAAAGCCATTGTGTCTATGTATGCGGATGACTCAACACTATACACGTCAGCTACTACAGCAAGTGAAATGACTGCAACCCTTAAGAAAGAGCTGCAGTCAGTTTCAGAATGGGTGGCAAGGAATAAGTTAGTCCTAAATATTTCCAAAACTAAAAGCATTGTATTTGGGACAAATCATTCACTAAACCCTAAACATCAACTACATCTCGTAATGAATAATGTGGAAATTGAGCAAGTTGAAGTGACTAAACTGCTTGGACAAGCTGAATGTACTGAGCTGTCTGTTTAAACTACTAGCACATAGCTCGGACACTCATGCATACCCCACAAGACATGCCCCCAGAGGTCTCTTCACAATCCCCAAGTCCAGAACAGACTGTGGGAGGCGCACAGTACAACATAGAGCCATGACTACATGGAACTCTATTCCACATCAACTGATGCACACATCAGGTAACTGATGCAAGCAGTAGAATCAGATCTTTTTTTTAAAGGTAAAAATACACCTAAAATACACCTTGTGGAACAGTGAGGACTGTGAAGAGACACACAAAGGTAGAGACATGCATACGCATACATTGTAATATTGTTGTATGGTGTGATTGTACATTTTGTATTGTAGATATGTAGTGGTGTAATAATGTTATGATGTACTGTTTTATCTTCTGTTTTATATGTAATGTAAGTGCTTTAATGTGTTTGGACCCCAGGAAGAGTAGCTGCTGCCTTGGCATCCCTAATAAATACAAATACAACAATTCCTTCGACCTCATGGCTTGGTTTTTGCTCTGACATGCACTGTCAACTGTGGGACCTTATATAGACAGGTGTGTGCCTTTCCAAATCATGTCCAATCAATTGAATTTATCACAGGTGGACTCCAATCAACATTTATTTAATCTATTTTAGAATTAGGCTGTAATGTAAGAAAATGTGGAAAAAGTCAAGGGGGTTGAATACTTTCCGTACATCATTGCTTATAACCCGTGACGGGATCAATTATATAAAGAATGTCAAATTCGACAAAAATATTACCTTTTGCATAAGAACGACACCATTAGATGTAATAAAACAAGCAGTTAAAGTACTTTATCCCAAACGCACAGTGCTGCAGAGTCTGTCTTCAATTTCTCTCCTTCAAATCTGATTTGAAACCTAACCACACTGCTAATTTAATGCCTACCCCTAACCTTAAATCAAGACCAAACAGCAACAAACAAAAAAAACAGATTTTTTACAATATAGCCAATTTTGACTTTGTGGCAATTAGTAACTAGTGGTTTTCAAACGTTTTTTATCAATTGGAATATTTGTAGCTACTTTTTAAGTAAATACCTGCAGTAAACTTGTGCAATACGTTAGGAGATAAAGATGATTGCGTTCTTCATTTCACCTGTCACAATCTTTCATTATGAAGATGCAGCACGCACCAGGTGATCTAGTTACAGTATGGAATTCACAACTAAATGTTTGCCTGCTAGATATCTTATCACTATTAAGTTAGCTGTCTAAAATGTGCTAAATGCTCTGCAGTTATGCATTTGGTTTGCTTCGCTTGGTAACAGCAGACAATTCCCTCCTGGAGCAATAGCCTTGCTGTTTAATATTTGTTTTGAGTGTGCAGCAAACAGTGAGTAGCATTGATTTACTTGTATACTTCTTTAGTTCAGAGACTGTATACAATGTTCGCAATGGTGTAGCAGTGCGGTCGTGTAAATAGCCAGTTTTTTTGTGTCTTTTTCGTATATATTTCCATATCACACTTTTCATCCTTCTACTAAATATACTTTCCTGCAACCCGCCTCACTCAATGTGGAACGGATTCTATTATTTACTTACCTTTTATCTAGAATCTCCAGTTGAAACTAGCTAGCCAGATAACTAGCTACTTGCTATTAGCCACCGTTAGCGGTTTTACCCCATATGTAACTCTGTTGTTGTTTTTATCACACTGCTTTGCTTTATCTTGTAAATGAGAACTTGTTCTCAACTGGCTTACCTGGTTAAATAAAGGTTAAATAAACAAATTAAATAAAATGTTCGCAATGCGCTTGTTAGCATTTAGTTAGTATTCTCTATGTGATATTACATGTGCTTGTTAGCATTGTTAACCTTTGGATTAGTGGGGTTTGAAAACAGCGCCCGTTGTGTTCAGTGCCGGTATTACCAAATATCCTGGTATGGCACAAGGTCGGTATGAAGGTATAATAATAAATAATAATAATATGCCATTTAGCAGACGCTTTTATCCAAAGCGACTTACAGTCATGCGTGCATACATTTTTGTGTATGGGTGGTCCCGGGGATCGAACCCACTACCTTGGCGTTACAAGCGCCGGGCTCTACCAGTTGAGCTACAGAGGACCACGTATGACAATCTGGATACTGCCCAAGCCTAATACACAGACCAAGTTTTATTACTTTAAGTTTATTACATAAATAAACATGAGTTTAACAATCTTCAGTCATACATATATTTCAGTGGAAGCTGTGGGAGGAGCTATTGGACAGGCTCATTGTAGTGGCTGGAATGGAAAAAATGGAACGTGTCAAACACATCAAACATATGGAAACCACACATTTGACTCTGTTCCATTTACTCCATTCCAGCCATTACAATGAACCCATCCTCCTATAGCTCCTCCCACCAGCCTCCTCTGATATATTTACAGGACACATATGAAGACACTTAGAGCAACAGCATCATGGCTCTGGGGTTGAAGACGCTCACATTTACAATGCTTGCAGTGTGTGTCGGTGTGCGTGAGTACATAGGTGTGTGTGTTCAGCTGTGTTGCTTGCGGTATCGTCTTGCTGCCACTGCTGCCTGCTGGTGTCCATCTTGTCTCGTCTCTGTAGGGTGGTCTCTCTCAGGTCCTCCTGTCTCCTGGGCGGGCATGGTGGTCAGCCACTGCTGGTAGTAGCCACGGAAACCATCAATCTGAGACAGGTAGGTGTTCCTAAACTTATACTGAGAGAGAGGGAGAACGAGAGAGGGGTAGGGAAAGAGAGAGAGATGTGAGACTCAAACACATTCTCTGTTGTTTCTGCACTTGTAATGACAAAGAGATGTACATGATTATATACCACACGCACGCACTCGTACACACCCTCTCCTCCCTACCTGGTTATAGTTGGGTGGGTACTGGGAGGCGTGTTCTAGCTGAATGATGATGATCTCATTAGGTGGGACGTTGTGTTCCCTCATGGCTCTAAGCATCACCCTCAGATACACATAGTCCAGCCTCCTGCTGGCACAACCAATAAGAGCAGAGAACACCTGCACACTGGGCCGCACCCCCGCCGCCTGCAGGAAACACAGAGGGGATTCTATTAAGCTGGCCCGGATGATTGCATTCGTTTTGGAACCGGGTTGCCTCCCGGGTGAGAGACGGGAGTCCCGTTCTGGCCGACGATGAATTCGGCTGAGGCACGTGGAGTAATGAGTAGGATTGTGTTTTCACATGCAAAAGTGATTGCTCTGATAAAAACACTACCTGCCATGTCAATGAAAACTAGTGTGAAAATTCAAAAATATATTTTATGGAAAGGAGTTGTATGTTTGAACTATGCATCATGCTGCATTGTTGACAATTTGACCGAGCAGCAGGGTGGGCTTCTCTCACCTAGCTTCGCCCGGTCACATGACAGGCCATAGCTCAGTTCAACCCGGGGCAGCGTAATCGAATCCCCTCACACAAGGAAGGGAGGGAGGTTGGTGTGTGTTACCTGCATGTCCCCCAGCAGCTGTAGGGCATCTGTCTGTCTGTTGCAGCCCAGAGCCAGACTGCCGTACGTCCGTACATCTGCACGCACATGTCTTTCCTGCATCACACACATCACCGCCTGACACACAGACACACACGCAGTTAGAAAACATACACACCTTGCAACAACATTGGTAAAACCTAAGAGCCCTATACTACGCAAGTGGTTTGAGGAGTTAAGTGTGGTAACTTTGGTCAACTGAGTTTAACTCTGGGATAACCGATCCCACGAAAGGGGCTCACCTTTTAGCCAGGTAACCACACATTTGACTCTGTTCCATTTACTCCATTCCAGCCATTACAATGAGCCCATCCTCCTATAGCTCCTCCCACCAGCCTCCTCTGATATATTAGAGCAACATTATTTTTATTTTAGTATATATTTTTTTCTCCATACTGGCCCCCAGTGGGAATCAAACCCACAACCCTGGCATTGCAAACGCCATGCTCTACCAACTGAGCTACATCCCTCAGATTCCCTCCCTCTCGCAAAGATTGCGTCATCATCCCCTTCATTTGAGGAAGACTAATTAAATATTTTATTAATCAAATGTTTTGTGTTAGAAATTGGCATGTTAAAATACCTATCACATTGCACATTTAGTAATGACAGAATGCATTTGAAACTTCACGCACTGTAAAACTTGTTATTTTATTGATAGGACTGGGGGAAAAAGGTGCTTGTGCATTGATAAGCATACTAAAGCACACCAAAGACGGCATTAACGATAAGTAATAAAATCAAGACAGCACTTCAACAAACCTATTTCACACCATAGCCTGCTGAATTTGCAAGATCACTTTTCTTTCATTTTGCTTTCAGCACAAATACAAATGTGGCAATGACTCGCCCATGGATTGATGTTTCAGCATTGTCTTAATGAAGAGTTCAGCGTTCTACTAGCCATGTGCGACATGCACGTGCAGTTACAAGCCTGCTAGAGTTAGCGGCAGGCGGACAAGCAATATCCAGCGTTGTAGTACTGATGAAGCCTGAGCTGGAACGTGAAGCTAACTGAAGCTGGCTAGCTTTAGTAAAACCCTGAGTAGATCTGGTTTGAAATGTAGTATTCCTCTCAGGTCTGTGTGTATACATAGTAAGTGTGTGTGTACCTTAGCCTCCTGTAGGTCTCCAGCGCGGGCTGCCCTGCGGATCACACTGTTGTAGAACGCTGCGTCCAGCTTCACCCCGTGTTGCTTAGCGACCGCCAGCAGGCTGTGCAGTGATTGGCTGCCGGGCTCCATGATGTCGGCTAATAGTGTGAGAGTTCTGATGTCTGGGCAGAGCCCCGCGGTGGCCATCTTGTCCAGGAAGCCCTGGGCCCCGCCCATCAGCGCCAGCCTATCGAACGCACCACTCACTGCACCAAGCGAGACCACACACCCCTCTCCAGCCCTGCCCACTGATAGGTCCAGCAGGTTGGGGGGGCGGGTGCTGGCTGCTGACAGACAGGGGAGAGAGCCAATGGGAGCCTCTTGTTCTCCTCCCTTCCTCACCATCACCAGTTGGGTTGTTACCGGGACGACCACACTACTGTTCAGGTCGCTATGGTGACTGGGGTCAATGCTATGGTGACTGGGGTCATTGCTATGGTCACTGAGGTCATTGCTATGGTGACTGGGGTCATTGCTATGGTGACCGAAGCGGTTGCTATGGTGACTAAGGCCGTTGTCGGGGTGTTGTGTGAACAGCTGACTCTCCAGAGCGTCGACATCCAGCGGAGCTGAACCCTGACCCATGACCTTTACCGCTTGACCTCCCTGGCCACAATCAGAGGTCAGCAGCAGGGCGGAGGCCACGGCGGGGTCACCTACCCCACAATCTCTAGCAGCGCGGAGCAGCAGGTTGTAGTTCTGGATGTCGGGACGAATCCCCATCCTCAACATCTGACGATACACCTAACACAAACACACATTATACACACACACACACACACACAAGACAGTTTTAGAAGTTTGAAGTGTGAAAACATGTGTGTGTGTTACCTGCAGGGCCTGTCTGAAGCCAGCGTCTCTGTCTCTCACACAGCCCATCAGCAGGAAGTGGAAGGTCTCCTGAGTTACTGCATGACCAGCCTGTAGCATGTCCTACAAACAAACAAACAAACACACACTTTGTTTGGCTCTACAAAGGCCCTGAATATCTCATAGAGAAAGAGAAACACACTTATTGTATCTTGGTGTCTTGAGTCTCGTTTTTAATTTCAATCGAATATTGTCTTGTGTTTTTATTGTCTAACTGATCTGGGGATAGAGGTCAAGGGTTAGTGTGTGTACATAGGCTCGGAGGTGTTTGGTGAGGGTAAGGGTTAGAGGTCAGGGATTAGAGTTACCCGTAGTGTGTGTAAACATGCTCGAAGGTGGTTGGTGAGGGCGTGTGTCTTCAGCAGGGCGTGGTATGTGATGTCACTGAGGGGATGGTTCTTCCTCCGCAGCTCCTGTTCCAAGTGGATGGCTTGCTGCAGCCCGGACGGTTTCCGTGGTGATTCGGCACAGGCGTTGAACAGAGCGGTGTAGGTGGCGTCGCTAGGAACCAGACCTCTCTTCTTCATCTGTCACACACACAAACACACCACATTAAACACATACACCATAATTATCATCATCTGGGGGTGAGGGAGTCTCTGTGTGCATTTGTGTCACTGTGCGTGTACAGTGTGCAGTGTTTCCCCTATAGTGCACCACTGCTAAATTGTGGCCACCGCTGCAAAAATAAATAAATACAATTTATACATTTATGGGATGGTAAAACGTTTTCAGTGTAAACTTAAATGACTAACACTAGGTATAAAGTATGTAGAAAAGATAATGGAGCAATATATTTTTTTAATGAGATAATCTCTTAGAACTAACAATCACCTAAATAAAAACTAGACAGTCAGGGAGAATCTAAAATGTAAAAAAACTTCATGGTATGGGAGCTCCATTGATTTTGTTATAATGCTTGAGTCACTTAGATAGCATAAGCCATAGCAAAATGTGTATAATTGCAGAAAATTTGCTTTACTTTAAAACAGCAACATTTTGTCTCTGAGGCCAAGAGGAGGGCCTCTAAAACCATGCCATTGGCCATGCTCACTATCTCCCTCACCCGCTAACTTCGCCACCATTGCTGAAAAGAATCCTAAGGGAAACTCGTGTGTGTGTGTGTGCACGGGTGTGTGTGTGTCTGGTCTCTATACGTACGTCGTTGTAGAGTTTGAAGGCGTGTTTGAGTTGTCCTGCCCGTCCACAGCCTCCTATCAGGACAGTGTAGTTATATTCCTCAGGTTGGAGTCTCTCTCCTTCCAACATCTCACTCTGGAACATGGACAGGGCCTCAGACAGCTGAGGGTTAGAGGTTAGGGGTTAGAGGTCAGAACAGTGTAGTTATACTCTTCAGATTGGAAGCCTCTCTCCCTCCAACATCTCACACAGGAACATGAACCATAGACATTAAAACCAGTAGATAGTGATAGCGCTGACATCATCCAAGTATTCCTATGGAATACTCCAGATGGCGCAAGACGTATTTGAAGTGTGCCATATTGCTGAATGGCATCCAAAAAATGCTAAGGATCATGGTGAAAGTGGCCGTAACTAGCAAAGGATCATGGTAGATGTAGTCGTTTTCATCCTGCCTGAGAGAGTCAACCGGAGCCTCCTTGTAGCCTGCCGTCCTGTGTGACGACAAATGTAGTAGTCAGAATGGATCACTATTTAATTAAATATCTTAATTTGTAGCAAACTTTTAAAGGATTCACCGTGGGGATCGAACTTGATCATGCTAAACTAATTTTGGAGCCCAAAACGGGCACCCCCCAAAAAATGGGGGCCTTTCTGTGACCAGGTGAAATAACTTTTCCAAGCCAAACCTTCATACCATAACCGCAAAAATAAAAATGTTTGGCCTTTCTGGCGATCGTAATTTACATAGGCTTTCTAGGGCAGATCAGTGCTTTTGGCACCGCTAGGTTGTTACGCAGTAGCTGACCAACAGAGCCCGTGACTTCACGCTCCAGAACGAACATTGGGGGCCTGACATGAACAGGTCCTCCGGCAGCTGTGGGTTGGGGTCAGGGGTTAGAGATCAGGGGTTAGAGGTCAGGGCTGTGTAGTTATACTCCTTAGGTTGGAGCCTCTCTCCCTCTGGAACATGGACAGGGCCTCAGACAGCTGGGGGTTAGAGGTCACAATAGTGTAGTTATACTCTTCAGGCTGGAGACTCTCTCCCTCCAACATATCACTCTGGAATATAAACAGAGCATCGAACAGCTGGGGGTTAGGGGTCAGAGGTTAGGAGTCAGAGTAGTGTAGTTATAGCCTACTCTTCAGGTTGGAGTCTCTCTCCATCCAGCATCTCAGCCTCATGCATGGGTTATGTTCCCCTGCATGCCAGACCTTACAACGTCTGGATAGGTATTTTAAGTATCAGCTAACCACATCATGTTATAGCAATCTGGTGGCTGTCGGCACAGTCGATGACGTTTCACGCAACCATTAGTTGATGCATGCAACGTCTGAGCAGGGGAACACAACCATGGACAGGGCCTCTGACAGCTGAGGGTTAGATGTAAGGGGTTAAAGTCAGAGGTAAATAGAGGTAATTACAGAACATGACAACTAGATTGTATCTTTATACTGTAGAAGCTCACAAGTTCTTTACCCATTCCTCACAAGTTCTTTACCCAATCCTCACAAGTTCTTTACCCAATCCTCACAAGTTCTTTACCCAATCCTCCCTCCATCCATCCATCCCTCCCTCCTTCTCTTTCTCAAGTGTCAGATACAGTGACAGAGGATGAGGAGACAGAAAGAGCGATGGATAGACAGAGAACCAGAGAGGGGGTGATAGATAAAGAGAGATAGATGTACCTTGTTCTCCTTGATTAGTCTTTTACACTGGAGGAAGTACCAGTACTGTGTGTTCCTCCGACCAGTCTTAGATCTGAAGGCCACCGGCTCCCTCTCCTCTTCCTGCCCGGCCGCCTGCCTCTCCTCCCGGTACAACATCTCCTGCAGCTCTGGGGTGGTCTTCCGGAAGGCCCGTCTGGAGGAAAAATCAGCGGATAGAGATCCGAAGTCCTCCCCGCCCAGGTCATTCCCAGCCCGGCCAGTGCGGGAGGGGGCGGCCGGTGGCTCCGGGGCATCCCTAATTCTTCTAGAACTCTGTAACGACACAGACCCGGTGAAGGCTCTTTGGCGGATGTCCGTTACCGGGTGAACCGACCAGGAACGTGGAGCTCTCACGGTGTTACAGGAGGCCAAGCTCGACAGACCTCGTGCTGTCTGAGTAGAGCCGTATCTGACGACGTAGTCTACGATGCTTCTCCCGTTCCTCAAACACGACCGAGACACACACTGCAACATCTTTACAGACCTGGGTGTACAGTAGCTAGCTAGAGTTAGCTAGCTAGCACGCTTTCTCGGAGCTACTGTTGTTAGCTAACTGTTAACTAACTTGTAACTCGTTAGCTATCAACCGTTCATATTACACGAATCACTGCAGTATGACAATTATTCTTCAAACTCCTACTGTATCCGACAGTTCTACCGTGTAGAAGTCTAATGTTTTGGTTCCAACCATGATTATTTATGTCAGAGAGTACACACAACCGTCGTCAACTCATAAAGACGGCAAGGAAAACGCAAGTACGTTGTTTCCATATATCTACCAGACCATAAATAGGTCAATAATCGAGTCAACTCTTTTACTGGTAAAACGTCTAACAATGTATGTATTTGAAACGTGTTGTTGAGACGATCATACATATTGTCACAGGTTCCGTGATTATGAAATGTCTTCAAATATTGACGTTGTTTCTGATAAATCAGACCGATATATCGAGGATAGATTAGTAAGGCTGTCACATTTTTGGAGGTCAGACTTCTTCGTCTCATGTTACGTCTCCAGCGGGACAGAACAGAGAACAACTGCCATCTACAGGAAAAAATGAGAACTGCAAATGTGGTGTCTTCACCCATAGAATGAACAGAGATTCCAAGTCCATCTGTAAATAAAAATGACAGGGACTTTTTATTTCTTATTAATCCGTAAAATGTTTCCTATAAAAAATATATTCTCTCTAACAGTTCTGCTACTTATGGGAGAGAGATGGAGGGAGAGGGAGAGAGAGAAAGAGTCTGGGGAATCCCTATCAGGAAAATAGGAGAGAAGGAAAATCCTGGAATTCCTGGAAGATTGTCAGCTGTCAGATTTTTTTTCTCCAGAAAATCACATTGTAGGATTTTTTATGAATTTATTTACAAATTATGGTGGAAAATAAGTATTTGGTCACCTACAAACAAGCAAGATTTCTGGCTCTCACAGACCTGTAACTTCTTCTTTAAGAGGCTCCTCTGTCCTCCACTCGTTACCTGTATTAATGGCACCTGTTTGAACTTGTTATCAGTATAAAAGACACCTGTCCACAACCTCAAACAGTCACACTCCAAACTCCACTATGGCCAAGACCAAAGAGCTGTCAAAGGACACCAGAAACAAAATTGTAGACCTGCACCAGGCTGGGAAGACTGAATCTGCAATAGGTAAGCAGCTTGGTTTGAAGAAATCAACTGTGGGAGCAATTATTAGGAAATGGAAGACATACAAGACCACTGATAATCTCCCTCGATCTGGGGCTCCACGCAAGATCTCACCCCGTGGGGTCAAAATAATCACAAGAACGGTGAGCAAAAATCCCAGAACCACACGGGGGGACCTAGTGAATGACCTGCAGAGAGCTGGGACCAAAGTAACAAAGCCTACCATCAGTAACACACTACGCCACCAGGGACTCAAATCCTGCAGTGCCAGACGTGTCCCCCTGCTTAAGCCAGTACATGTCCAGGCCCGTCTGATGTTTGCTAGAGTGCATTTGGATGATCCAGAAGAGGATTGGGAGAATGTCATATGGTCAGATGAAACCAAAATAGAACTTTTTGGTAAAAACTCAACTCGTCGTGTTTGGAGGACAAAGAATGCTGAGTTGCATCCAAAGAACACCATACCTACTGTGAAGCATGGGGGTGGAAACATCCTGCTTTGGGGCTGTTTTTCTGCAAAGGGACCAGGACGACTGATCCGTGTAAAGGAAAGAATGAATGGGGCCATGTATCGTGAGATTTTGAGTGAAAACCTCCTTCCATCAGCAAGGGCATTGAAGATGATACGTGGCTGGGTCTTTCAGCATGACAATGATCCCAAACACACCGCCCGGGCAACGAAGGAGTGGCTTTGTAATAAGCATTTCAAGGTCCTGGAGTGGCCTAGCCAGTCTCCAGATCTCAACCCCATAGAAAATCTTTGGAGGGAGTTGAAAGTCTGTGTTGCCCAGCGACAGCCCCAAAACATCACTGCTCTAGAGGAGATCTGCATGGAGGAATGGGCCAAAATACCAGCAACAGTGTGTGAAAACCTTGTGAAGACTTACAGAAAACATTTGACCTGTGTCATTGCCAACAAAGGGTATATAACATAGTATTGAGAAACTTTTGTTATTGACCAAATACTTATTTTCCACCATAATTTGAAAATAAATTCATAAAAAATCCTACAATGTGATTTTCTGGATTTTTTTTCTCATTTTGTCTGTCATAGTTGACATGTACCTATGATGAAAATTACAGGCCTCTCTCATCTTTTGAAGTGGGAGAACTTGCACAATTGGTGGCTGACTAAATACTTTCTTCCCCCACTGTATATATATATATATATATATATATATATATATATATATATATATGCGAGAGAAAAAAAAACATGGGGGATTGGAAGTGATGCAGACAATTACTTTGAAGGAATTTCCAAATACACCAAGAAAGTTGTGAAGAGGGCACGACAACGCCTTTTCCCCCTCAGGAGACTGAAAAGATTTGGCATGGGTCCCCAGATCCTCAAAAAGTTATACAGCTGCACCATCGAGAGCATCTTGACTGGTTGGATCACCGCCTGGTATAGCAACTGCTCGGCAACCAACCGTAAGGCGCTACAGAGGGTAGTGCGTACGGCCCAGTACATCACTGGGGCCAAGCTTCCTGCCATCCAGGTCCTTTATACTAGGCGGTGTCAGAGGAAGGCCCAAAAAATTGTCAGACTCTATTCACCCAAGTCATAGACTGTTCACTCTGCTACCGCACGGGAAGCGGTACCGGAGTGCCAAGTCTAGGTCCAAAAGGCTCCTCAACAGCTTCTACCCCCAAGCCATAAGACTGCTGAACAATTATGTCCAGCCAGACTATTTACTTTGTTTTTACACTGCTGCTACTCGCTGTTCATTATCTATGAATAGTGACTTTATCCCTACCTATATGTACAAATTACCTTGAATAACCTGTACCCCTGCACATTGACTCAGCACCGGTGCCCCCTGTATATAGCCTCGTTATTGTTATTTTATTGTGTTACTTTTTAATTTATTTTTTACTTTAGTTTATTTAGTAAATATTTTCTATATTAATTATATTTCTTGAACTGCATTGTTGGTTAAGGGCTTGTAAGTAAGCATTTCACGGTATGGTCTACACCTGTTGTATTCGGCACATGTCACAAATAAAATTTGATTTGATGTCTGCGATTGGGAGTTGGCCATATACCCATATGTGATCAATCGAAACGAGTATTTGAAAGATAAATGAACCCTGGTTCTCTGATAATTTGGGTGAAATGTATCACCACATTTCCCAGATCGCAAGAGCGCGAGGAATAGAGCCATGCTCGAGAATGACCAGAGGGCGGGTGAGTGGCGATTTATAAAGAGGGAGGGGCTCACCTCATTTGCCATTCGACCTATCTGTCTCTGACAGACGTTGTGTGATGAGTTGAATTGTTTTTTTTCCCCTCATCAATCTACACACCATACCCCATAATGTCAAAGCAAAAACATGTTTTTTGGTCACCTCCCTGATCAAGGCCCTTCTCCCCCGATTGCTCAGTTTGGCCGGGCGGCCAGCTCTAGGAAGAGTCTTGGTGGTTCCAAACTTCTTCCATTTAAGAATGGAGGCAACTGTGTTCTTGAGGACCTTCAATGCTGCAGAATTTTTTTGGTACCCTTCCCCAGATCTGTACATTTGTACATTTTAGTCATTTAGCAGACGCTTATCCAGAGCGACATACAGTTAGTGAGTGCATACATTTTCATACTGGCCCCCCGTGGGAAACGAACCCACAACCCTGGCGTTGCAAGCGCCATGCTCTACCAACTGAGCTACAGGGGACAACCCTGTACCTCGACACAATCCTGTCTCTGAGCTCTACGGACAATTCCTTCGACATCATGGCTTGGTTTTTGCTCAAACGTACTGTCAACTGTGGGACCTTATACAGACAGGTGTGTGCCTTTCAAAATCATGTCCAATCAATTGAATCTACCACAGGTGGACTCCAATCAAGTTGTAGAAACATCTCAAGGATGATCAATGGAAACAGGATGCACCTGAGCTCAATTTTGAGTCTCATAGAAAAGGGTCTAATTCTGTATTTATTAATTGTTAATTTGCAGAAATTTAGAAAAACCTGTTTTTACTTTGTCATTATGGGGTATTGTGTGTAGACTGATGAGGAAAAACATGTATTTCATCAATTTTTGAATAAGGCTGTAACTTAACAAAATGTGGAAAAAGTGAAGGGGTCTGAATACTTTCCGAATGCACTGTATTTCAGACCCATCCCTCTATCTACAGAGACACCCCTGGTCTCAATTATCTAATGTAGCTATCTATTTATTTATAATGTAATATTCCTTATCTCCTATATCTCTTCCGCCAAGCCATAGTGATGTGTGACTGACTGGGTTTGAACCTGGGTTGTCTGTGTGCCGAGGTGTTTCAGTGAACCACGCTCATGTGCTGAGTAACCTTGACTGAATCTTGAACACTTGCATTAGTTTCGGCTAACACGGTCTTGTGGTATGTGGAGGACCTAGGTCAAACCCAGTCCATTGTGTGTATGTGTGTGTGTGTGTGTTCAGTGCAAGGGACAGTGGGATGCCCATAATATAATATATTATAAACGTGAAGTCCCACATCTGTTTGGTGTAAAATATAAAAGTGAAAGGATGAGATGGTTGTGAGATACTACAGTTGAATTCGGAAGTTTACATACACCTTAGCCAAATACATTTAAACTCAGTTTTTCACATTTACTGACATTTAATCCTAGTAAAAATTCCCTGTCTTAGGTCAGTTAGGATCACCACTTTATTTTAAGAATGTGAAATGTTAGAATAATAGTAGAGAGAATGATTTATTTGAGCTTTTATTTATTTCATCACATTCCCAGTGGGTCAAAAGTTTACATACACTCAATTAGTATTTGGTAGCATTGCCTTTTAAATTGTTTAACTTGGGTCAAATGTTTCGGGTAGCCTTCCACAAGCTTCCCTCAATAAGTTGGGTGAATTTTGGCCCATTCCTCCTGACAGAGCTGGTGTAACTGAATCAGGTTTGGAGGCCTCCTTGCTCGCACACGCTTTTTCAGTTCTGCCCACATTTTCTATAGGATTGAGGTCAGGGCTTTGTGATGGCCACTCCAATACCTTGACTTTGTTGTCCTTAAGCCATTTTGCCACAACTTTGGAAGCATGCTTGGGGTCATTGTCCATTTGGAAGACCCATTTGCGACCAAGCTTTAACTTCCTGACTGATGTCTTGAGTCAATATATATACATAATTTTCTTTCCTCATGATGCCATCAATTTTGTGAAGTGCACCAATCCCTCCTGCAGCAAAGCA